TTATTTTTTTTTCAAGCACCATTTATTGAAAACATTTTATTGCCCCCTATTGAATTTCTCTGATGCTTTTGTCTAAAACCAGTTGACATTATATATGCCTGTCCTTGACTACATGCTTCATGTCTTTCTCCTTATGCCAGCATGATGCTGTTTTGATGGCTGTCTTATAGGAAGGGTTAAGATCAGGTTGTTAACTATTCCAAGTTTGTTCTTCTCTTTCAAGTGTGTTAAATGAATAAAGAGACAAAACAAATTTGAGGAAAAGTTCAAAGTTTAGAAGATAGAGAAGAAAATCCATCACATATATAATGGAAGATTCTGAAAAGGAAAATCAAAACAAAGTAATAGTACACATATTAAAATTACAATTTAAGAAAACCTTCCTGAAATTAGAAAAAAATTACTTTGAAACTATGTATATTCAGAGGGAAACTATGAGCCTGAGAAAATTGATCAGAATGACCAACGCCAAGATGTGTCCTAGTAAAATTACCAAACTTAAAATAAAAAATTATATACTTTGGGCAAAAATATATAAATCATTTACAAGGGGAAGAATTTTTGACAGAAGCATTTTATATCAGAAGAAAATGGAGTGGCATATTCAAGATTCTTAAGGAAAGAAAATGTGAAGCAAGGATTTCAGGTCCAGTCAACCTGACTGCCAGGCATAAAGGCCACACATGAATGTTAGCAATATGAAGGAGGAACTCCCCAAAAAATGGAATTATCTTTTTGGAGGGGGCCCCTTATAGTACAGGCTTTCCCCATTTGGTAAGTGTTCTAGGAACCATTGGCATCAGTGTACCAGCTATCATTGTTATGAGAGACTGCGTTCAGCTTCAGTGAATTTTTTAAGATTCTTTCAGCACATTTGCCCATTTCATGATGAGTAATTACAAGAGTACCTGCTCGCACCTCGCTAAGTGTTTGGCAATTTTTGACCAAAAACAGGTGCCCCACACTCCCTATTCACCTGATCTCATCCCAAGTGACTTATTTTTGTTTCCCCAGATGAAAAAGGTCCTCAAAGGGAAACGTTTGGCCGGGCACGGTGGCTCATGTCTGTAATCCCAGCACTCTGGGAGGCAGAGATGAGAGGATTGCCTGAGCTCAGGGGTTTGAGAAAAGCCTAGGCAACTTGGTGAGACCTCGTCTCTACAATAAATCAAAATATTAGCCAGGTATGGAGGTGCACACCTGTAGTTCCAGCTACTTGGAAGACTGAGGTGGAAGGAATGCCTGAGCCCCAGCAGGTCACGGCTGTGGTGGCCGTGAGCATGCCACTGCACTCCAGCCTGGGTGACAGAGTGAGATTCTGACTTAAAAATAAAAATAAAAAAGGAAACGTTTCACCAGTGTGGAAGAGGTGAAACAAACAGCAGAAGTACTACTAAAAGGCATCAAAATTAGCGAGTTCAAAAACTGTTTTGAGCAGTGGAAAAAGTGTCTCAGTAGGTGTATTGTATCAAACGGAGAGTACTTTGGGGTGACTGAAGTTTAACCATATAAGAATAAATACACAATTTTTAATAAAGAAATTCCAGGGCTTTGGGGTCCCGCTTCATATGTCATAGTCAGCCATGAGGACAGGGATGCTCACAGAGCTGACGTAAGATGTGAGTACAAGAAACAGAAACACAAGTGTTGCTTTACAAACCATCTTGGAGACGATGAGGAGTAAAATTTACCCAGAAGACAATGTCATCCATGTATGTGCTGGAGGAGCTAGGAGGTTTGGGTCTCACTTCTCTGGGGTCTGAAGCACTATGCTGTGCAAGCTTAACAGTGGTGTATCTTAGGAGTGCACAATAATAACTAGCGTTGTCTAATAACTAGCACTGTCCATGACCTGGGGCCCAGCCATAGTCAGGAAAGCTGTGTTGCCTGACTTGGAGCCAGAGAACCCATTTGGGCACCCTGAGGGCCAATCGTTCCTGTAGATGAGGACTTTGGGAACTTGGCCTGGCAGATAGATGCTGGTACCAGTTTGGGGCATATTGTCCAATGCTGCTGCTCTTCCAGTGAAGGACGTGGTGACCATGGCCCCTGATGTTGAGTCCAAGAGACAGAAAGAGAGTGAGAAGGCGTGAGAAGCCCTATAGACAGTGGTTAAGAACTTGGCTTCTGGAACTAGGCTGTCTAGTTTTGAAATCTGGCTCTGCCACTTACATCCTGTGACCTTCTTCTTATGTGTAAAATAAGGATGATAATAATATCTAATTTCTAGTATTGTAATGAGGATTGAATTATAGAGCAGTGCCTAGAGAGAGTAAGCAACAGTATTAACTATCAACAGTATTACAAAGACCATGGCCCAACCTGTACCCAACCAGAGAAGAGAGAGAACTGGGAGCTCTTAGATGTCCTATCCACCATAACCAGGCACTAGCACAGTAAGTGAGGAGGATGAGCAAGAGGAGTTCAAGCCATGGTGGAGACACCTGAGGGCTCTGCCCCTGAAGCCTCACAGCTGAGGCTGGGCTTCCCAGTTTCTCTCCTATGGTCTCTCCTTACCCTTTAGAGGAGAGACTGTACATGCAAATCTGTCCCTGCTCCTCGGGTCGGCCCAGTTTCTCCCACACCATAAAGAAGAGGAAAGACCCCTCCAACTGAGTTGATTCTAGGCCACTACCCCCCAAGTCAGAATGGAGCTGGGGCGGGGGACCAAATTGGGAGAGGACCGCCAACAAGTCAAAGGACAAATGACCTCTGAATCTGGGTCATTTGTCAACCTAAGGGTCCAGAAGAGGGCCTGACCTGCAGCTCTGGGGCAAGTGCGGTGGGGCTGGGGGGGGGGCAGTAGTCAGCTGCAGAGCTTTCCAGGAAGAAAGCATAAGCAGCTGCAGTTTCTCAGCTCTGATCAAGAACACGTTGAGACACTAGATCTCCAAAGCTGATTACTCAGTGCCCCCGCTGGATCTGATAGAGTAGGCAGGTTGTTGTTTTTTTGGGGGGGGGGTTGAGTCGGGGTCTCATTCTGTCGCCCAGGCTGGAGTACATGGCTCACCGCAGCCTTGACCTTCTGGGCTCAGGCAATCCTTCTACCTCAGCCTCCCGAGTATCTGAGACTACAGGTGTGTGCCACCACGCCCACTTTATTTTCTTTTGTAGAGCCAGGGTCTTACTATATTGCCTAGACTGGTCTTGAACTCCTAGGCTCAAGCAATCCTCCTGCTTCAGCCTCCCAAAGGTTTGGGACTACAAGCATGAGCCACCATGTCCAACTTAGTAGGCAGGTTAAAGTAGGGAAATATCAGGGCTGTAGGATATAGCATGCAGGAGCATTCAGAAACCTGGGCAAACTCTTTCATTGTCCCAATTTCAGGACTGCTAGAAGATTTTTTTAAAAGCTGTTCAAATAACTCTCACCCAACATTCCTCCTGCAGCCTACTCAGGATATTTGTGTAGTAGACAGGGCACAGTTGGGGAATCTCCCTGGGCATGTGGACAAATAGCCAAGTTGACTCACTTTAACCTTTACCTTCATTATATGTTCATTAGCATACTAAATAACACGCTCCAGCACCATGACAGTTCCCACCCTGCCCATTTATGGTAATAAATTGAGTGACATTCCAATTCTAGGAATTGACCACCCAGCTCTTAAAAAAATTTAACCCTTTAATAGATTATTCTACCCCTTCATTATTGTAGCTCACAAATCCCATGAGTCAAAAACCCCTGGCATGACACTTCCTTGTGTTTGCCCATACTATTCCGTTGCTTCCACTTTTCATAAACTTGCTAACTACCTTGCTATGTTGGTCTCATTCTGAAATTCTTTTTGGCAGCAAAGTCAAGGACCCAAGACAGAATTCTGGTAACTGACACAGAATCCTGGTAACAGATCCAGGTCTCAGATCCTTGCTAGGGCTCTACAGAATGAACCTTGAACTGGATTAATTGAATGAGTAGAGGGCTTCTGGTTAGAAGCCAACTGGTTCCACCTCTCAGATCCAGCCTTAACCCTGACCACTACAACTGGGGGCTGTATGAAAAACAGACTGTAGGGTAGTATGGTGGAGGCCAGGAGACTAGGAGGGAGCTAGGGGGACTTTGATGGAAGTGGTAGCAGTGAAGGCAATGAGGACTGAGTGAATCTCCAATATACACACAGTTCCTGACTTAGGATGGTTTGGCTTACAATTCTTCCACTACAAATCCCATACAGTATCCACTCATAGATTTATGACGGGGTTGTGTCCAGATAAAACCGTAGTAAATTGAAAATATCTTGTCAAAAACACACTTTCAATTTACTATATTTTCAATTTACAGTGGGTTTATCCAGACATATTTCTACTGTAAGTCGAGGAGCATCTGCATTTTGAATGCAGTGACGGCACAATTTGCAGATGGGTTAAAGAATGAGTCCAGGATGCCCCAAAGACACTGGGCCTGGACAACCAGGAAGATGGAGTTTCCATTTTGGAGATAGAGAACCTACCAAGGAGTGGGTGTAGTATAAGGAGTTCTGTTTTAAAGTGAAATCTCACTGTGACGCTTAATTTGTTGCATTTCCAAACCTTACTTTGCCGTAGAACTTTTCCTGGAGTGTCTACCAGGGCTAGTATTCCAATAAAGCAGGTGGGGGAAAACGTCTCCAGGGAGCAAGGAAATGTGTGTATATTATTATTTAAACGATATTAAAATAAGATCATGAAAATTATTTTAGGACTTCCATAATCCTAACCTAACACAGAAATTATTTTTATTTTACAAATTTTTCAGGTATGTTTTGCGCAGATATGTTTGTTATTGAAAGAAGCCTGCTATACTCATATCTGTGGCTTTTAATTATTTTAATTATGAACATGGATGTTTACATACCAGTTTTCGTAATCATTGTAACGAAAATTGTCATTACTGTCTTCTCGTGGCGGGGAGAGGTCAGTGAAGGCTTGCGGAGCCCTGCCCGAAGGGCCGCTCCTGGCTGCGCTCCCGGAACGTTCGAGCCGCGGAACCCGCGACATCGACGCGCGGGAGCCGGAGGGCGGACGCCGGCACGCCGGGCGCGGGGACGCCAGAAACAGCCGGTTCCGGAAGTAGGGGTGCAGGTGGCCGTCCCGGCAGCTGGAAGCCGAGCAGGATCCACGGTAGGGCTGCGGGTGAGTGGCGAGCGCAGGCCTTTCTCGGGCGGGTTTCCCGAATGCTGACCCAGCGCAGCTCTGGGCTGGAGCGCATGCTCGGGAGAAGGTCCCAGCCGGGCTCTGCATCCTCGTCGCCTCTACCCTAGCGTGGGTGACTTCTCCCCGCTTGCTGAGGGCTTCAGGGAGGTGGTGACGGGCCAGCACTTGGCTCTTCCTGGAGGGAGCAGGCGCTGCGGTTAACACTCTTCTTCCTCCAACCCTTCCACGGCTCTTGGAGGTGAAGTCTGTTGTCCCAGTCTCATAGGTAGGAAAACCGAGGTTCGTGGAGGCTGTGCGGCGGCTGGAGTCCACTCTGGGACAGGTTCCACTAGCCGCCTTCTAGGCCCTGGATCGGTGTTGTGGGAGCCCAGGCTCTCTGACTTGTTCTCCCTAGTCAAGGGAGGGAATTTTTGTTAACAAATGAACTAGAATCCAGGGCAGTAACTTCTCGCAGACGTGAAAGGGAAGATGATAGCCAGGTCTTGCCTTTTTATCCCTCTCGCCTTTGGGAACAGGTCGTGAGAGGCCAACCTAACTTAGACTTAATGGCTAGTGAGGCCTGGATTCCTTTGCCAAGGTCATTAGACACTAATCTGAATTGTTCCAAACTTCATTTACTCATAATTTTAAAAAGTCACAACAACTGCCTTACAGGGTCGTTGGCAAGATTAAAGTAGTGTTTACGGCTATGGCATGCCTGTTACAGAGAAGGAGCTCAGGAAATGTTCGTTTGTTTTCTCTTTCCCTGCTTCTGTAAGGATTTGGCAAAGTTCCTGAGCTGGGAAATCCTAGGAAGCTTGATGCTAGACCTCCACCCCTAAGCCAAATCCACTTTGCTAACACAAAAGGAAATTTCTATATTTACAGTGTCCCCAGAGGACACATATCACTAGTGGTATTGCTGACGAAAGTTCACAGGGTACTAACAAACTGGCCTGCTACTCCTTTTTAAATTCATTTTTGGTCCTTGTAATTACAGTCCCTGTTTGGGGTGTTTGCTGTCAACACCCCCTTAGTACTTGATAATCCCCTTTTGAAATAGTAAGATAAACTGCAGGCTCAGAGATTTGACAGGCGACAAGATCAAACTTGAAGTACCTACCACACAGGTTACCGTAAATAACCTATTTCTGGCCATTTTAATCTATTTAAGCTTTAAAAAGAAAGCAAAAACTTAAGTGAATAATAATGTTGGTAAGGCACAAGTGTGAAGATGGTGTATAAGTGAAGTTTGCTTTCATTCTCATTGGCTTCCATTTTGAAATGGAAGATATGCCTTAAAGGAAGAAATAAGGAGACCCCCAAGATTAATCACAGTTAAGATTGCAAACATTTTTAAGAGGTAGAACTTGGTGCAGATTTTTTTTAAGTGTCCCTGGCTGAAAGTAAGGTAACATGAGTTTCAGCTCCAACTGGACAAGCTTCCCAGGTGACCTTTGGAAAATCATCTTCTCTTAGTTTGTTCTTCTTCCTTGAGATGATTGTATCAGATGACTACAAGGCCCCTTTTCCCAGGATTCTATGGTTCCATACCCTTAAAGAAAGCAGTGCATTCTCTCCAATAAAAATAGTGATATTCATAATATTACAAAGTACTCATTTTATGCTAAATTATAAAATGAACTAGAACTTGTATTGCTTTAAAGACAAAGCTACTGAAGACAGGTGCATATCACATATGAATAACAACTGCACGGTCTGGCAAGTAGACAGGTGATCTGAATTAAACTGATGCAGATGTGTCACATGTGCCTTTGGTAGACTGCTCAGTTTTATCCTTGTTCCTGGATAAATGAGGTACCCCCTTTAAGATGCTTAGGCAGAATGTTTCTCTCTCTCTGAAGGGATTTCTTGATTTGTTACTTACTTATTGAAAAATAGTTGACTTTTCTTGCCAAGCACAGCAGCTCACACCTATAATCCCAGCACTTTGGGAGGTGGAGGCAAGAGAATTGCCTGAGCTTCGAGCTTCTAGACCAGCCTGAGCAACATGGCAAGACCGCATATCTACAATAACAATTTTTTTAAAAATTAGCCAGGTGTGGTGACGCGTGCCTGTGGTTCTAGCTACTTGGAACGCTGAGGTGAAAGGATCAACTGAGCCCAGCAGGTTGAGGTTGAGGCTACAGTGGCCATGAGCATGCCACTGCACTCCAGCCTGTCGACAGTGAGACTCCAACTCAAAAAAAAAGAAAGATAATAGGGAGTAGTGAAGTAGTGGAGATATAAAACTTCCTATAGAGGAGATGGAAAATTTCCATGGAAAAAAAGAACATTGAGAAGTGTTTGCAGAACGCTTACAGATTCAAAGTCTCTTTAATTTTTTTTTTTTTTTTTCAAATCAGGGTCTCACTCTGTTGCCCAGGCTGGCAGTGACACGATCATAGCTCACCGCAGCCTCAAACTCCTAGGCTCAAGTGATCCTCCAACCTCACCCTCTGTACCTAGCTAATTTTTAAATTTTTAAATTTTTTGTAGAAATGAGGTCTCATGTCACCCAGGCTGATCTCAAATTCCTGGACTCAAGCAGTCCTCCCACTTTGGCCTCCCAAAGTGCTGAGATTACAAGCATGAGCTACTGGGCCCAGCCAGTCTTTAAATTTTAGAGATCTAAAAGCATTTTTATTATTCACTTTGCCGGTAAAGTGACCCTGTCTTACATATTTGGTCATTCGTTCAATCAGTATTTGCTCACAGTCTACTTGCCATTAGAGTGAACAAGGCAAAATCCCAGTTCTCTGGAGCTTACTTACATTTCAGGAAATGTAAGAAAAGAATCAAATGAGCAGATAAGAGTGTGTCAGGTGCTGTGGTAAGTGCTACAGGACGTAAAGCAGGGCTGCTATTCCATTCAGTACACTCAGAGGTAGGGCAGGATCAAGCTGAGAGCACAGATTCCAGAACAAATAGGCCCAGATTCAAATCCTTGTCCTGCCGCTCTGGTCTCTGACCCTGCACTTCCCACTGTTGGCCAGCACAATGGCTGCACCTTCTCCCAAGGATGCTGGCAGGACTGCTTGGTGCCTGGCATGTTATCCCTGTACCTTAACTGCTATGACATAGACATAAGAAATCTGAGGAATATTTAAGGACAAAACTTTTTCTCTAATTTGGAATGGATGGAGAACTTGAAGCCCTCACACTACCATCCCCTTATGCTGCCAATTTTTCCTTCTGGCCTCTGGCTTCCCTGGGTAGGAGAAAAGGAAGCCCTGAGTCTCTCTTCAGGGCCTCTGACTTTGGTAGAACTCAATCTTACCCAGAATGGAGTGCAGAGGCCAGATCACAGCAGCCTTGGCTGTTCATTCATTCCACAGACATTTAGTGTGTGCTAGGTGCCAGAGAAAAACGATGAACTAGACATCATTGTGGGGAAGACAGACCAGTGGTGACAGGTGCGAGTCTTCAGGAAGGAGGGGCAGGTTCAGAGCAAGGAGATTACTGGGGGAAAGTGGTCTGGGCAGAGATCTGAAGGCAGGAACAATCATCACACACAGGGAGGGAGGGTGTGGGGGCACACAGCAGGGCAGCCAAAGATGCAGCTAGAGCTGTCACGGCAGGTGAGCTCACCTGCGGACAGTCCATGCCATCATTCTGAGAGATCATGGCTCTTTCCTCTGAGATGAGTGTGTATTTAGGGAGAACATCCAAGTATTTATTTGGAGGAAAAAAGTAAATTGTTGTTTTACTCAGGGCAGCTTTCTCATAGAGATTACTGACTTCATAGTGGCCCTGTGGTCTCCTATAGCAGGGGACAGGGTTGGCAGCTAGAGGCACACCTTGGGCCATGTCTCCCATACAGCAAGAAGCCGCTTTGCTGAAGGAGGTTCCATTGGCATCATTTCTGAACAGTGTCTTTCCAACCCTCTTTTATTTGGTTCTGTTTTATTTTTACTTTATGTTTAAATCCATTGTCTTAGTTCTTTTCTATCAGTCACCTGTGTCTACAGTGCTAAGTGTAAAAGGTACAAAAGGGAATGTGGTGAGCAGGAGGCCTCTAGCCCTGACCTCCAGGACCTAACCCCCGCCCTGCCACTGTTATGGCTGTTTGCTTTGAGTTCTACCAGACAGCTCTCTGTAAACAAGCACACGTGTGTGCACATGGCAACCAGCAGTGCTCTGTGCACACTGTTACATGCCCATCTCTCTTAACATGGTTTGTCTCAGTGATCTGACTCATATTAATGCTTCCCGAGCAGATGCATTCCTTTCTAATGCAACTAGCTGTTCCTGTATAGAAATGCCACACATGGATTTCACCAGCTCCTTATTGACTGTCACTAGGTGGTTCTAATCTTTTATCATGAATGATTACACTGTGGAGCAGTAGTCCCCAACCTTTTTGGCATCAGGGACTGGTTTCATGGAAAATAATTTTTCCACAGATGGTGAGGGTATCATCAGGCATTAGATTTTCATACGGAATGTGCAACCTACATCCCTCACATGCACAGTTCACAATAGGGTTTGCATTCCTATGAGAATCTAATGCCACTGCTGTTCTGACAGGAGGCAGAGCTCTGCCTCCCGCTCTCCCACTGTGTGGTCTGGTTCCTCACAAGCCATGGACCTGTACAGGTCCATGGCCCAGGGGTTGGAGATCCCTGCTGTTGAGGATTCATCTCAGGCACCATCATGTCTGTCCTGAAGTTGCTCCAGCACTGCCCTGTCCTATCTCTTGGGGACTAAGTGTTCATGTGGACAGTCTTGCCAGGACCTCCTTCTTACTTCTGTGGCTGCCTCTCCCTCAGCGACATCATCCTCCTCCCATCTCATGTTCCTTGGCCTCCTGAGGTCAGCAACCACTGCTCTAACACTTCCATGACCCCTGGCCAAGTATCCCACCCCTGGGAGCTGCTTCCTTTGACACCCCCACTTCCTGCCCTAATGCCTCGCTTCCTACAGTTCTTGGACCCGCATTGCGCACCTTTTTGGCCCCTTGCCCAGCACAATCTGTCCCCGTAATAACTCCTTTCAGCCCTGCCTTCTCCCCTCCCTTCTCACCTGTACTGTCCCATCTAAATCTGGCACTTCCCCCTTTCCCCTGCCATGGCCTGCCCAACTCCACCTTCTGGCCTCCCTCAGTGGACCATGAACAAAGCACCGTGATTCTTCCTCCACCAAGAGAAGTGCAACCCTGTCACGGCCCTGTACTGACTGGACACTGCCTTCTTCCTCCAGGCCTGTGGCTAACCAGGGCCATTACTCCAGCAGCTCCCTTCCCTCTGGCCTGCGTCTTCCCTTCCTTCCTACTAGCCTAGTCCTATGGTGGAGAATACATGGGTACAGCTTTCCCTCCCCTCCCCCAGCTTTCTGGAGCTCACCTCATGAAACTTTCACCTCGCCTGTCACTCACCAGATGGCCCCCATGAAGGTCACCAGGGCTCTCAGTTTGCCAGGCTTCATGGTCAGGTCTCAGGTGCCACCTTGCCTGGCTGGCAGGAGCCTTTGACAGTGACGCCTGCCCTGAAGTGCTCTTTTCCTTTGACTTTCAGGCCCACTGCTCTTGTCTCACACTGCTGGCTCCCGGCTCCTAACTCCTATCCTGGGCTCTTTCCGCACTGCTGCCTCCTCCTCCCCATCCGCCCTGGCTATCTAATGGGCAGGTCATATTTAACATGCCTGAGTTGCAGCTCCTGAGTCCCCACCCAAACTGTCAATTCCTTAGATTCCTTCCTTTTATGCCATTTCCCCTAGAATCTGACTTCCCCTCACAGCTTCCACTGCTGCCCCCCAGAGCTGTCACTCTCTTCTGTGACAGCCAGAGAGGTCCCTTTAACACTTGAAGTGAGATTGTCCCACTCCTGTGCCAACCCTCCACCTCCCATCTCCCCAGAGTAGACCCACAGTCCCAGGCCAAGAGGCCGATGTTCTACATCCCTGTTCCCTCCCTCAGCCCTCATGGCCTCCTCACAGTCCCTCCAACCTGCCCAGCCGTCTGTTCCCTCGGGGCCTCACCTTTCCTGGTCCTTCTGCCTGGACTCTTCTCCCAGGTGTCTCCCAGTCCAGCCCCATCCCCCACCCTTCCACATGCTGACACCACAGCACTGCAGCATCAGTTGTGGGAGGGCAAGACCTAGTGTTGCTCTGGGTTGTGATCCCTGTACCCAGGCCTGAGCCAAGCATGTAGTAGGTGCTCAATAAGTAACGAATAAATGAAGTTATCCACTCCCAGGAGTGGAGCTGCTGGGATATGGACTTGCAGTTTTGAAAGGCATCGTTGCATTGCTGCACTTAGAGCTTGTTTCCATTAATTTCCCCACGTGTTTGAGTCTGCCTCTTCCCTACGCCCTCACCTTCTGTGTGCTCAGACTGTGGGTCTCTACTAGGAAATAAGTCACAGCTGATTTTCTCTTTGATGAGTTGTTGGATGTGATCTCATATTGCAAAGGGCTAATTTCCTCATTATATAAATAAGTCCTAAAAACAAGAAAACAACAAACCAATTGAAAAAAGTAGGTAAAAATATGAATAGGCAGTTCAAGAAAAATAAACCAGTGCTTTTAAACATGCTTCAAGTGTTTCTGAGTTTTGAGGTGCCTGGGTGGGTTTTTTTCCTTCACACTGAGATTATTTTACTTTATTTTATTTGTATGTATTTTTTGAGACAGGGTCTCACTGTGTTGCCTAGACTGGAGTGCAGCAGCTGTTCACAGATGCAATCATCGCCCACTAAATCCTCAAACTTCTGGATTCAACAATCCTCCTGTCTCAGCCTCCCAAGTAACCGAAACTACTTGGGAGGCTGAGACAGGTGTACCACCACGCCTAGCTTGTGAGAGTACTTTTAAAGTACGTGTTTCAAGCCGGGCTCAGTGGCTCAGCCTGTAATCCTGCGCCTTTGGGAGGCTGAGGTGAGTGGATTGCCTTA